TTAAAAAAAAAAAAAGAAATTAGTCCCATTGGTCCCTCAAAGCCACATGTCTAAAAATGAGCTCCATAATTCTGTTTTTCTGTATTCCTCATTTATCAAATCCCTATGATCAACATGTTTATAGCGGTGGGGGCTGAAGTGTAGAGTTAATAAGACAGTCATGATCCCTAACTTCACCATTTTTTTTTTTCTTTTTGGCAGAACTGGGGATTGAACTCAGGCCCTTGCGCTTGCCAGGGAAGCGCTTATTCCATTGAGCCATCTCCCCGGCCCCCAACCTTCACTATTTCTGCAGTCTAACAGGGAATGACTAAAAATGATAAGCTTATGGAACTAAAAGGAAATCTCATGTTTAGGGAAGTGTCAGACATGTGAAGGAGGACAGATTGTCCTGCTGCAGACAGGCATGGTGGTCAAAAACAGTGTCTAAACTTGTTCTTGAGACAAGAGAAGGTAATGAAGAACTTTATATAAGGAATAACAAGATCAGTTTTGTATTTAAAACATACCACTGACTTATGCTAGAGGGACAGTTTGCAAATAGGAAAATTAGTTTAAAAAAACTGTCTCCACCTTTAAAAAGACCTAGGGCCATGGACTCCAGAAGAGTAGATGGATGTGTGGTTCTGGATGTGCAAGCCTTGAACTTGTCTGTGGGAATAAGGAATGAAAGATGACTTAGATAGCTCGTGGCTTAGATAGCCATGTTTGTGAATTAGATAGCTAGGTAGGTGACAAGTCAGCTGTAACAATGAGGTTCCTGGAAGTAATGACCACCTACATGTTCTGGACAGAAACTCTCCTCCACACCACCCACCAGGTATGTCGCTGAAATCCAGGTAGTGATGGAGTTGCCTATTAAATCTCTTTCCTCTATCCTATCCTCTGAACCACAAATGATCATACTGCTCCCTACCTAAAATCCTACAACAGGTTATCCCAAACATCCTGGCAGTGTATCAATGGACCCTGACGACTTGGCCCTTGCCTTCCATATGCACAGTATCTTCCAATCACATCAGATTATTAATAATCACAATTCTTCAAATTTATACTTTTTCTCACTCTTTGCCTTTGCATGCCCACCTGTCCTGCCTAGAATACCCTATTCTCCTTTTAGGACATGAAGGAACTTTAACTACCTTTGTTACCACCTTAACTAAGTGATTAAAGTCAACTCTATTAAAAAAAAATTTTTTAAGAAGTCAACTCTACCAATTAAGAGGGTATATTAACATCTTGTCACTTCAGTTATATTTGTGTTTAATATGAGTAAGCTGAATTTAATCATAGAGAAACATTTGAAGAGCACAAATAGAAAAACACTGTACAAAATAACTAGCTGGGACTCTTCAGAACTGTCAAGGTCATTACAGACAAAGAAAGACTGAAGAATCATTGCAGATTGAAGGACACTAAGGGTGTTATCACTAAATGCAATGTAAGATCCTCTGCTAGTGCTACACCACAAAGAGGACATTTCGGAACAAATGTAAGTAAGGTCTATGTATTAGATAAAAAGTTTATATATCAGATAAATGTATGAGTATTGTATGTATTAGTGATTTTGATGACTCTACTATGATTGTGTAAAATGTTAGTATTTGAGCAATGAGGGCAAAAGACACATAGGAATTAATTCTTTGTACTATTTTTACAAGTCTAACATTAGTTGAAGATGAGACTGTTTTTAATTAGCTCAGATTCAGCTTTCCCCAATATGCCATGTAGTCAGCCAACCTGGTTCCCACTGCACTGGAACATCATTACACTTACCACAACACATTATTTGTTTGCATTTTGTATTAACTCCAATACTGCTTAACAGAAATACACAGGAAAGCATCTTAAGTTTTAGTTTTCTAGCAGCCACAATAAAATAAAAAGAAATAGACAAAACTAAATAATATAGTTAGCCTACTACATCAAAAATATTACCCACAGAGTCAGTAACAAAAATTGAGACATTTAATATTCCCTTCTGGAGGGGGTACAGAGTCTTCAAATACTGCTTATACTTCACACATATAGGGTGATTCAGCCAAAGATGGCCAAGTGGCTATTTTACAGAACATTATATGTATATACTATGGGTTCTTCAAATGAAGAAACTGTTGTATATACATCACCTAATAGCAAGTTCAGTGGGCTTCCCAACAAATACTGAAAATCCCTGAGCACCATGCCAAGGGCCCAAGTTTAGGAACTTACGAGCACAGCGGATCCCTCTTTGTCCATCTTCTGGCACGTCTCATTCTCTAGGCCTAAAACATAAAATAGTTTTGATAGCTATCCCAAGAAAGCAGTTTCTTTCCCTCCTTGTGAAAGACTCTTGGCTGCCCTAGTGCAGGCCTGAGATGACTATGAACACACCAGAAGCATTTGAGGACTTTAAAGGGATCACTAGCATTCTGCTGAATTCTGTCTATATACAATGTCAGAGTCCAATAACCTTCACAAGAAAGAGGAGTGCATAGTAGCCATCGACACTGTCAATCTTCAAGCAGAAAGAACGGCAGGGCTGCCCCATGTGTACTGAAAGTTTAATGGGCTACAACACTGACCACGAAATTATTTCAGAAAGAAATTATAACGCTGACCAACCACCATTTTATTACTAAGTCTGAGTAAATCTGAATTCGAGCCCCAAAGGACAACCTCAATTTAGTTAATGTAGCAGATAACACTATAAGCTTTAAATTTTAAGCCAGCAAAACTATTGTCCTTTTCTGTTTTTCTTGTGTCAAAACAAAACCCAGACTATGTTCTCATTGCAGAAAATTTAAATACAGAAAAACATAAAAATTTAAAGCTATACTCTTCCATACAACAATAACTAAATACCATTTTTGTGAATTGTTAGTTATTTAAAACACAAATGTGACCATCACTTTCATGCTCAAAACCCTTCAAAGTCTCCTTCCATCTACCAGATCAATCCCAAATTCCTTACTACAGGCTTGTTTCCCCCACACTTTATACTCACAGAAAGCTAACAGGCATTTTTAGCAACACGGCAGGATCCCTCCCATCGCTTCATTTCCTGAAGCACATTGATGTACAAAACCATACAGATCCACCTCCACAGTGACTCTTGCCAATAATCTCCAATTCCACCAAAAGCCACTACCCCTTCCACCCCCATGGCCAAGGTCTCTGCTTGCTTCTTTGCTACAGCTAATCAGTTACAATGTAACAGCTGTTTAATCTGTTCCGCTTTTCCAAAGCAACTAGTTTACTGAGAACAGTACTGTACCTAACAGAGCCCCAATTCTCTACAGAAATTCTTATTCAAGGAATTTTCTCCAGTGAGAAAGAATACATTCCAACAAATATCTGCCATGTATTTGTATCAGAGAAAATTCAAAGCTGCACCTCTTAGTCTCTAGCCTTAAGACATTTATAACACTTCCCCTTTTATAATGAATACACTGTGCTAGGCACTATGGAATAGGAAGTCAAGAAAATAGGTGGTGGGAGCACAGGGTCTAGTGGAACCCAAGAAAAATTCAAGATAGATTTGGAAGGACTGGGCACAACTTTCATAGAAAATTAAAAAAAAAAAAGGAAAAAGGAAGCATGAGTACAGAATTCAGGATTAAGCCAGTGGTGCAGAAATGTAATCCTAGCACTCAGGAAGCTAGGGCAAGAGGATCACAAATTCCAGGACAGCCTGGGCTACCTAGAAATTTCAATGCCAGCATGGGCTACATAGTGAGACTATGTTGGGGATGGGGGAGCAAGCAAAAGGGGCACCAATCAGAATGGCAAACAGGGCTCTTGAGAAAGAAAGTTGCATACAGAATGTCCCTCAAAACTCCTGTGTTAAAAGGCTTGGGCCCCTGGGTGTTACATTTGGGGGGGTTGTAAAAACATAAAGCCTTCCAGGAGGTCTTTGGTGATTGGGTGTGTGCATAGGGGGATAGATGGGTGGCCCTAAAGGGCACTGTGGGACCCTATGTTCCTTGTTTCTGCCAGTTTTGCTCGACCACATCCTCCTTGCTGTTGCCAGCTGGCACCCACATTACAGGTGAAAGAACAGAGGGTCTACCTTAATCAAAGACCGAACCTCGACCAGGAGCCATCCAAAACCAACCTTTCTCTTCTAGAGTTGAGGTATTTGTAACAGTTATGCACAGCTCACTGACACATATGGGAAACTGAGCCTAGGAGACAGAGAGGAAGCTGGAGAAAATCCCTTGCTCAAAGTCCCAATTTTCAACCTGCTTCCCTAGTTTGGTGGTAAATCATAATGTTTAAAAGTATATGTCTAAAAGAGCACAAATTATGTTGCTTAAGAAGATCAGAGTTTTAATAATATTGAATGTAGTTGGGAACACAGTTCAATGCTTTTCATGAGGTTAGACCATAGATGAAATGTGCAACTTAATGAGGGCCTTCCCTCTAGAAGGCATGGAGTAACAAAGTGACTTTGTCATTGCACAGCCCAGATAGCTCAGATTCTTCCTTAGCATTCCAAGGTTTTACAGAGCACTAGTTAATTTTAATCTACCACATCTTTTATAGGAAAATTTATAGTAGCTGAGTAGAATGAAAAGAGTCACTTTATACTAAGGTTAGAGGCCATGGAACCAAATTGCTTATGTTGGAATCTAATTCTATAATTTACTAGTGACTATTCAGAACATCCCAAAATATGGCATCTCAGTATTTGAGGAATCAGAAGAAGCAGGAAAATCTCTGCATTCTTCTCTATAGTACAGACTGTAAAATAATTTTCTGATTTTTTCTTTCTTCCCTCCAGAGTAGTCCCTCTCAGTAACTGGAGGAAAAGAATATCTTCATTTTTTAAGACACCGAGATACCTAGAAGAATCTGAACTAAGCAGGCCTCACTAAGGCTCCTCCAGTTATCAGTGTCTGACTGCTCATCATACTTTTCTATAACTGCCCATAAAAAGTCTTCTTTTAAAAAAAAGTAAGTTTTCTTATATGGATCTTCACTTCAAAGTGTTCTTGTGTCTTGTAAAACTTACATATTAAACAAATTTGGGTGCTTTTTTTCTGTTAGTCTGTCTTTTGTTGTAGAGGTCTCAGTCATGAGCCTTGCAAAGGGAAAAAACATTTCTTTTGTTCTGCTAACCAAATGACCCTGGCAAAGTTAACTTTTATGCCTCACTTTGTTTCTGCATAGAATGGTGAAAAGAGTTAAGTATCAAGGAATAAATAGCTAATCCATATAAAGCATTTAGAACAATACATGTACATCATAAGGTCTTATACACATTAGTTGTTAAACAGTAATTATAAAAAACCCTAAATGTACAACATATTTATAGGTGACCATACTTTACAATTTGGCATATTGATATAAAACTACAGAGAAATTCAAGTCTTATCATACCTCCTGGACAATCTGCCATACTTACCCATATATCCCTAGTAAGCAGTTTTGATGGTCTCTTTTTTAGGTAAAGAAGCAAAGCACAGATCAGCATACACTTAGCCCTAAAGGGACTCACTTTTCTAATCTAAGGCATCTCCTGCTTTAGGTTTCAGGCATTTCTATGCTTATGTAGGTGAAGATGAAGATATGCTTCCATACCTGCTTCTGAGGATGAGAATGCATGATTTATGGTAGACACGGGAACATTGGAACATTCAAAGTACTCCAGGTCTTCCTCTGGCTCACCTTTCACCGTGGCCCCAGCTGTTTTCTGACCACATGATGTGGATGCTAGTTTCTCCTCATCAGTAGCATGGCCGTCCCTATTAGAAATGTCTGAAACCTGGGAGATCACTGCTCCTTCATCCTGGAAATGTGACACAGAAATCATTACCCATTAGGGGGACAATCAATGAGGAAAAGTGACATTTCAGAAAATGGAGCAAGCAGCCACATTCCATACAAATATTTGATAAGAATTAGCCACAGATCTAGGTACAAACCAAAGCAGCAGCCTTCTTCCCACCTTGAAATATTATTTTCTAGGACTTAGATTCTGTAACTTGAATCTATGGTTTGAAAAAAATGAACTTTTCTGGCCTAAATTTGTAAGCAAACAATTTAACTGATCTAAGACAGTATTTTCCTGCTCATATACCTCCTACTTGTTTTTTGGTTTGTTTGGGTGTTGTTTTGGCTTTGTATTATACTTTTTTTGAGACAGGTTCTCTAGATAAATAGCTCAAGGTGACCCTAAACTTACAATCTACCTGTTTCAGTCTCCTAAGTGCTGGGATTATACATGTGTGCCACCCTGCCCAACCTACTTGTTCTTTTCCTTTTCTTTTTTTGAAAACCCATTGCATTTTCAAATTATATCTAAAGCTTTTCAGGATAATTCTAATAATAAAAAATTAGTAACAGGTTGCAGAGATAGCTCAGCAGTCTAAGTGCCTGCCTAACAAGCAAGTGCAAGGACTCAGGTTTGATCCCTGGTACCACATGTTGTGCCAGCTCCAGGCACTGAGCTGGCCACTGAAACCAGGTGTGGTGGTATATGCCTGTAATCTCAGCACTGGGGAGAGAGGCTGAAACAGAAGGACCACTACAAGTCTGAGGTGCATGGCAAGACAATGCACCAAATAAATAAAAGATTAAAACTAATTTTAAAAAATAAGTATCTTTAATAGAATAATTAATTTTGAATAATCACAAAGAATGTAATACCTGGTACATCCTTGGTTAATGCAGTTCAATTACTCTAGTAATGTGATATCCTATGATCCAATTTTAAACTTTGTAAGTTTTCTTCTAATAGAAACTTATATTATTCCTTTTCCTCTATGAATTTGTATTTCACTTCCATCAAGAAATTATTTCAACAAAATACATATAAACTGAAAGTCTCTTAAAGGTCTCTTTATTCTATTTGTTAAAAATAAATCAGAAGTTTTTCTCTTTGACCATAAATATCAATTTTTTTTCTCTTTTTAAGAATTATAATTACTAATGTGTAATGTTTTCAAAATATTGCAAATTTTTAGTAGTATTATCAGACATAAAAGCAGAATCTGTCCAAGACAGACTTGTTACTTTAATTTGCACTCATTCAAGAAATTTAGGGGCCTGGGAGATGGCTCAATGGAATAAGCGCTTCCCTGGCTAGTGCAAAGGCCTGAGTTCGATCCCCAGTTCACCAAAAAAAAAAGAAAAGAAAAGAAATTTAGGGGACTGGCGAGATAGCTCAGTGCTCTAAAAAGCCTGCAAGATATGTCAGTGGTCTAAAGCACCTGCTTAGGTAAGCTTAGGCATGTGCAGAGGACCATGGTTCAATCCCCCCATCACATGCTGCACCAGCCCCACCCTCACAGCAGGCTGAGCGGGCCAAAAAAAAAAAAAATATTACCATACACAACTACTGTGTGATAATCCAATGTTTTTCTTTTCATGTTTTTGCTCTTTAGAATCTTGAATACTTAAGCTTATACATAATCTTGTGTTTTGCTATCCTTTTTACTGTAAAATGTAAATATTTAAGGTATATTTTGATTCTAACTATGATGAAAGATTTCTCATCTTTAAAAAAGTAGGTTTGTGGGCTGGTGAGATGGCTCAGTGGTCTAAAGCACCTACTTAGAACAAGCTTAGCAAAGCACAGGGACCACAGTTCAATCCCCCAGCACCACATGCCAGCCAGCCCCGCCCCCTGGTGGGCTGAGCTGGCCACACACACACACACACACACACACATAAATAAATAAATATTAAAAAAGTAGGTTTGTTGTGTTGATTTAAAAATTTTTTCAGTGTAATCAAAAGTGATTTTTTTTCTCATGGCTTTTGCTGTCAGTTTTGGCCAAATTTTAGGAAGGATGTTTTTATCTATTTGTAATAGATGAAGAGTAACCAGATAGCAACCCCAAACTGCCTTTTAAAAATTTAAAGTTTGTATTATATTTTTGGTCCAAGTCGCATAGGTTAAGTTATACTTAAATTGCATTCTATTCACCAGTATAAGTGTGTTTTTGTAATTATGGCTTTGCTGAAGTAAATTTTTACAAAATGTATCTCACTGCAATCACATGGACCTGGGCTTTGTTTTCCAAGTCATATAGTCATGCATGTATTTATTGCTAGAATAAAATAAACATCAACATCACTTTTATTCCTGGTTTCCATCTCTATAATTATAATCAGTAAGAAACCTTATTATATAAATACATGAAACTGAAAGGAGTTCTATTTATTTATTATATTTAGTACAGGATCTATAGGGTCTCACTACGTAGACTGGACTCAAAGCTATTCTCCTGTTTTCAGCCTCTCATACACTGGGATTGCAGGCATATGCCACCATGTCCAGTCTCAATCACTGTCTCAATGTACCCCGACAGGCCAGGAATCAAGCCCCTGGCCCCTACGTCAACCTAGGCAGGTGCTTTAATCTGCTGAGCTATCTAGAAAGTTTTATTATAGAAACGAATTTCAAATCTTTTTGCAAGTTACATGACAAAAGGATTCCATAATTAAAACCTATTTTCAACTGGGCAGGTTGGCACACACTTATAATTCCAGCTAGTTAGAGGCTGAGACAGGAGGAATGAAAACTCAAGGCCAGCCTGAGCAATTTACTAAGGCCCTATTTCAAACAAACCCAATCCAACCCTTATTTCTGGCTGGTGATTTACCTTAGTGGTATAGTACTTGCTAGCATACACTTGGCCTTGGATTTGAAAACAAAAAAAATCTTATTTTTAACAAGCTGATAACCCAGGTAATCCCCTTTTCTTGACAGCAATGAGTTGGAAACCAATATCTTTAAATAAAAAAGGTGATTATCTAAAACCACTCACGAGAACCTACCCTGCGATTTCAGAGCTTTCCTGCCCTAGAGGTTTTTAACACTCTGGTGATATACCTTCCTAAAATTTAGAATGAGAATTTTTTAAAAAAGGAATCATTGCAAAAGAATTCCCTTGTTTTTTAAGTCTCTTCCCAGATAGTTTTACAAAATTAGGATCTGAAAATTGATTTCCTTGATGTTTGAGTACCCAAGACACCCACTCTGAGGTACTCCTACAGGATACAAACTCCAGTTTTGAGATCAATGGTCTATGAGTCTGGTGATAGACACAGGCTTACCTGAGAACAAGTTTCCAAAGCAAGAGACTGACTTTCGTATTTCTTCACCTTACAGCCACTCCTAGAAAGAGAAAAAACACAAACAAGCGAGCTTGGAATCACAATGACAACTTCCAAGGAATGAGATGGAAGCACAGCGCAGTGTATGCAGGTGGAAGCCAAAGCATACAACAGCACACAAATCAAACATCTGCATGGTAGAGACACAGACACCTTTGCTGTCTCTGAGTCTTCTCCCAACAGACAGGGCAAGCAAAGAATGATGGCTAGGTTCACTGTCTGAAAAGACCACCTCATTTGTTTCAGTAGACTGACAAACACCAATACTCTGATGCTCTACCATGTTTAATTACCCACCACCAATAGCCTTCCAAATAGTACAGTCTTAGCAGTTAGGGAGGTTCCATTCTGATTTTGGTCATTTGGCTTTGATGTTCATCAGAAAAATCATCACACTGGACGAGATTCTTTAAAAATTCTTTATTGTACCAAAAGCCACAGAAGCCTCCTAAGACAGCTCCAGTCTAGACCTAGGTGTTTATAGAAAAGAACTGTGGTCAACGGAAAATATAAAGGTATTTGAGGAAATTGTTACCATTTTTTTTAAGTTGTTTACTATTCTTATTAAGTAATGAGGTGGAAGATGAGCATCATGTAGTGTGCAAAGCTCTGAACTGGGGAAAAGTTGGGAGTATCTGTTATTTTTAGATTAGACATTATTTTTGATCATAAGGCTAATTCATATTCTGTTTTAATGAACTTAAACTTTCTAGTAAAAATGATACTCTGACCAAAAAATTTATTTTCCACTTGCTTTTCTTTGGTGGAAAAAAATTTAAAAGACAAACTCAAAGGTTATCAGGAAGTTCACAATCACTAGTTCATGTTATTATTTCCTAACACTGTTAGTAAGTGTCAACCTTTGTCACTCAACTCAAGCCAACTCAGTAAAATTTATCACCTGTTCTAAGCAGCCTTATACTATTTTTAAAAGTCCACTGACTTCCAATATCAAATACCAGCACAGTCCCTCAAACCTAGTGATCTTGGGAGTCAAGCCAGCTCTTCGTATCCAAAGTGCCACATGACATGTGCCAAGCCAGGGAGTGCAAGCTCATGTACCTAAGGCAGGAAGGGCAATCTCCGCTCTTTAGGTACAAACAGTGCAAGGCTAAGCTGACTCAGGAGGTGGCAAATGAAATGCAAAAATAATAATAATAATAATAATAATAATAATAATAATAATAATAAATAAAAAATCATCAGAAGATCAAAATCAGAAACAGAAGAAAAGGACAAGCTCAGAAACAGAAGCCAACATGCTATGGAGAGATATTTGGGGCAGGGGTGGGGCAGCAAAGTGCCAACAGTCCCAGGGACAAACAGAAACAGCAAGAGTACTTACAACAGAAAACAGAGAAATTTCACTTGCTCAGTGGTCCTGAAGCACCAACAAATTTAGAGACAGGAAAGAGACAGACAGATGGAAAAAAATCATGTAAAGCCTAGAAATTTATCTTCAGACCGGTAGATGTAAAAGCTACAGTTTTTTCTGTGAAGTGAGACATAAATTAAAAAATGTCACACTCATGGATGTCAGCACTGGTGAATGATTAACAGAACCTCAATTCTAATGTAGTAAGAGTGGTTAAGCACGCAGAAATGCAGCATATTCAATGTGTAGATGAAAATAAACTCTTAAATATGTGAAAATGTAAAAAAAATAGTATTGTTGAACATATTTAGTCTACTGACTAGTCACTCAAATTAAAGGCAATATATGAATAAAAATATATTTGTAAAATATATTTGAAAAGATACTTGGTTATCTTTATAAAAGGTGTACATAAGAAGCTTAAAATGATTTTGCGTAATTTATCTTATGTGATATACAAAATCCCAATCTCACTAAATTGTCTCTATTTTATAGAAGAATCTCTAGTAGTCAACTATTTACATCTTATTTATTTATCTGGTACAGAGTCTCATTATGCAGCTCAGACTCACAGTGAACCTCCTGTCTCAGCCTCAACACTGCGATTACAGGTGTGTGCCACCACACCTGGTTTTACATACATCTTTTTTAATGTCATGCAAAATGCCTAACTACAGGATCCACTAGATGCTACCACCAAATATTTCTTTTCAGTCTTCTCTACAATGAAGCATTCTGCTAACCAAGACCCTAGAGTGTGCCACAAGATGTCTACCAACCCTTTCTCACAGAAAGCAGGTTTGTCTGTTTGATCCAGGGCCTTTCCACAAGCTATATATCCAGCTCCTTTGATTAATTATTATTTTTTTTTAATTTTGAGACAGGGTCTTGCTAAGCCACTGAGCTGCCTGGGCTTGAATGTCAGATTCTTCTGCCTTAGGCTCCTAAGACTCTGGGATGACAGATGTGAGCCATCACATCCAATACGATAAGAATTTTGATTATGTGAGAATTAAAACAAAAATTATACAAGGTATATTAGATCAAGAAGTTCATTTGATAAAAACAGAATAGAGGAAAATGCTACCAGGTAAGAATGGCAAAACTCAAAACAGAGTGCTTCTTGGTGCTCAATATAAAGAATAACATTCTCCCACATTGGCTTGTATTTAATCTCTGACATGAATTCACTGGCTAGTATCATTAGCATACCAACTAGAAGGAAGGCTCCCCAAACAACTACATATCATCTAGGGTATGCAAAAGCAGATCATGTTTAAAGGAGGAAGCAACAAAGTACTGAAGTGCTCCATACATACCCCAAGTGCTGTCTAGATCTAAGTATCTAACCTTACCAGCCACAACAGAGAACTGTGCTAACACCCAGCTGATATACTTCAAGTATTTAACTGCTCCCACATAATCAGAGAACAGATCAAGAGCTACTGATGACATTTCATTCTCTTCAGACAAGGTGAGGGATATGTCAGAGCTGTTATAGAACTGATATCTACATCGCTCACCCATCAGTATTGAAAGCCATACTTCTGTGACTCAAAACTCTGGATAGTTTCTTTCCCAGTATAACTGACTACCTAGTGTTTTTTTAAAAAGTATTTCCACAAACACCTCATGTTAACTACAGATACCTTACTTCTTACTTGCCCTTTCCATGTTTTATCCTCCATGTCAACATGCCTTCTTTATGGCTATTTAGTAAAAAGTCACAGTGTCAGGAAGGGATATACTGGCATCTAGTCAATTTCATTTTTGCAAACACAGTAATCCTCTAACAAAGTTAAACTGAAAGTTGATACAGAGTATGGCCTAAGGGATCACTCAAGGAAATTCAAAGTCATGCAAAAATCACCCAGTTTGCAAGAGAAATGAGGGGACAGAGGAAGCACATGACAAAAGATTAAGTTATCCAGGTTTAAATGATCATTTAAAACAGCTTGACTCTCATTGGAAATTTGGCTTGTTGCTAATGAACCAAAAATGTACATGAAGACAAGAATTCTCACTAACTTTTCATGGCAGGTTTGTTTCCAACAACAGTAACAACAAAACCCACTTCTTCCTGTTTAGAAAAATACTTCTGTAAGATCCTTGTGAACCATTTTCACATTACTGACATTGGACAGGTAATTTGTAGGTTGGAATTTTTTTGTTTTATTCATAAATCATCTGAAGGTGGTGGCTAGCACTGACACTCGAATTCTTTATTTAGGGATTCCCAGCAAGGATTTTTAAAAACCATCAAATCTCTGATTTTTTAAAAACATTAAAAGTATCCAAGATGGGAGGAAAACAGCTTGGCCAAACATGCTGAGGTTTCAGAAATAAGGTTGAAATCTACAAAGGAAACCTCTAGTATTTCTAACCACACAAGGGCTAGGCAAAAGCGAAGACTCCAGCATATGCTTTGTGTCCCTAACTGTACCTCAAAAATAAACGCAGTTCACCAAAACCAAAGAGAATACTACACAGAACACAATGCCCAGCACCCTGTCACTCACGTTATTAAACGCGACTTTGACTTCTTGGGTGAGTCTAAGATTTCATTAACATGATTACCAGTGGAAGAACAAAAGTTGCTGCTTGTTAAAGTCATAGTTGGTTTAAAAGGATCCATGGATTCATCGAAGTTATCTGGGTCAAAATGGTAGGAGGCCTTAGAGGAGAGGGGTGGGGAGTTCTGCAGAGTAGATTGGCTCCCAAAGGAATTAAAGCCAGGGCAATCCCACTGACTAGGTTCTAGCTTAGAAGACACCTGGGAGAGAGGGTTATCTCCAGCTATCAGGTCTGCAGGCTGTTCTACACCTACTGGCTTACAGATGCCATCTTTCTGTATCTTGGGAGTCAGTATGTTACCCGGTTTCCTGCCAAGTTTCCTTGGAAGGGCTTTCCTGGCCTCTATGTTTTCCACATCTTCTGTGAAATCGAACTCAAGTTTGAGAGGTGAGCTCCTTGCCTCTTCCTGTGGCTCAATCCCTGAGTCACTGGTGTCACTAATGAGAGTATCTGAAGCTTCCTTAAGGCCACAGGGAGATTTCTGGCTTCTGTCACCTCCCAGCTGAGAAGGACGTGTATTCTCATCCAATTCATCAGTATTGGTCTGATGAGATACCCTGGCAAGAGGTCTGGCCTCTGTGGTAGTTTCCACCCCAGAGAACTCTCCCCCAATTGTTTTCTTCCTCAAAGATACGGGTTTGGGCTTTCTCAGCTTGCTTCTGCTGGCCACAGGCTCACGACAGGAGCTTCCAGCCTTCAGATCACCTTCTGCAATTGCCTCCAGCATAACCCCCATGCTGCATTCTGTCACTGCCTCATCCTGGGTGGCTCCTGGCATGCTGGAGGGCAAAGCCTCTTCTGAGACTGAAGTTATATAGCCATAGTTTGCTTCTGTTCCAAGAGCTGCTGGGATATTGGAGGAATTCTTGGTTTCTATTGAAAATGGCCTCACTACTGAAATTTTGCTGCTATCATGACCAGGTTCTTCTTTGACATCCCTGACTGGGTGAGGACTAGTGGCCAGCTGTGGTACTTCATTTCCCAAAGATCCAGAACAAGTCTCAGATGAGTGCCTGTCAACCACTTCTGCTACCAGCTGTTCATCGGCTTCTTGTGATTCTAAAACAAAAACAAAAAAACCAAAATCCATTTATTAAATAAGCATCTTTCTTGCACTGATAAATATTTTCTACCACCTAAATTTACACACAAAAACAACAGTGGTTCTCCTGTTTATTTTTACTAACCATCTCTAAGGTTCAGCAAAAATAGCAGTATAGCCAAAAAGGTTAATAGGTAGAACTATGCTCTAAAATGAATTTTCCTAACCTAAATTGTTTATGTGCATTATAGAACTGATATGAAATATTTTGCTGAGTTTACACACCTATAATATTCAACAACAGAACTTAAAAAAATTGGGATATAACTATGAATGTCCATTTTGTATCTGTGTATTCAAAGTGGTTGGGACAGATATATAGTTGCATTCTCTTAATGAATAGAATGATTTGTTCTAATGGTGTTTGTAAGTAGGATCACAAGTCTGCCTC